GGCTCCGAGGCGGCGGCGAGGCCGATCTCCCCCCCGTGCCCGGCTCTGCGACGGCAAGGCCGGCTACAGAGCGTTCCCTGCGCATGCTCAAGGGACGCTCTGTCACTTTTGGGGGGATTTAAATATCCCCCTGATTTAAAAAAAAACTTTTTAGATTTTTGTGCACACCTGGGGACCGCCCCACGTGTGCACAAAACTCTCCCTCCCCCCCAAGTGCCCCCTCTGTGCTGATTTAGATATCCGCACAGAGGGGGCTACTTCGGTATTAGATATATAGATACCACACACAGTACTAAAGAGTGATGTATGACAGTAATTATTTGCAGACTCCATAGGAGAATGGAAGTGTCACCATGGTCTATGGTGCTCAAGACTGCACTTAGGATTAAGTTCTTACACGATCCTTATGTAGTTCTTCAGCTTTCCTAATTAAAGGATTAAATACACAGATTTAACCACGACAAAGAATCAATCTGGAACAGACACACCTAGCTAAGAGCAACAGTGTGGATATATAGGCCAAACCACTCACAGCCTTCTGAAAAAGTAGTGTAACCCATCTAAATTAAAAAAAAAAATTAAAGGCAGGACTAAGGCAAGACTAATCAACCACACCATGTAGAATTCAACTATATTCATCTATGGGATACATAACTATGAAAACCAGCATGATTTGCAAATCTTACTATAGTCTTACTTATCTTTCCACTTGCATTTTGTTAGCTATTTCAAATAAGCAGAGAAAACATCTCCTTCACAAGACTTCCTGTGCCTTAATTTTTCTCTACATTATTTTGCTTCACCTCCCAAAATTTCACAAATTCTATGGTACCCAGCAGGGATACTCAGCTGTATCTTATACTATGCAAAAGTAAGATGTAAATCCTTTCTGAGTCCAAAGATATTCAATCACACAGACGGTTTCGGTTCATAAGCTGTCCAAAAGGTGTGATCAGCACAGCTGAACATTTTTTGGGGTAGCATTTTTAATATGTGTGCATGTGTGCGTGTGTGTGCACGTATGAGGATGCGTATACCTGGAAGTCATGGCAACCTCTGGTGACTGACCCCTACTGGGGATCTGGAGGATATTCAGAGAGGAGGCTGAATAAAGCCTGCCCACACCTCCTGACTGCTGGTATTCCAAGTACTTGCCAGAGTCGATCCTGCTTAGCTTCCGAGATCTGATGAGATTGGGCTTTCCTGGACTATCCAGGTCAGGGCAGCACAGCTGAACAACTGATGAACTGTTTGTATTCAGATAGCATATTTTTGGTTGTGCAAAAAAAAAAAAAAAGCTGACTGCAGATGCACTCTTATGCTGCTTTCCCATGGCTTCCCCACACCTGCCACGGCCTCTCCTCATGCCGTTTGCCACATTCTTTAAAAGCATATAAAACATTTGCATAACATAAGAAGTGAATTATAACATAAGAAGTGAATTATAGATGTGAGATGTCTCCCAGTCTTTTATGGCTTCATGATTTGGTTAATAGGAAACACAAACTGTCTTGATCAGCAATAATATAAGCACGTGTACAATCTTGCAATGCTTTTTTCCAGCTCTCCCTTCCTAGTCTAAACCATTTGCTACACAAAGAGAAAAAACAAATGTTCAAAACGGAATGTCACTCCTTAGGGAAGAGCCTTCCATAGCCAGGAACGTTTCCTTGTTAGAGTGTATCGGGGGGGGGGGGCAGGTTCCTTCCCAAAGGTGTACACCTCCACAGCTAAGAAAGGTTTTCTCAATTTCATTTCATTTCAGGTTTCTAGGGTAAAAGCTGTCCTCCTCACTAAAACTAGGAGTGCTCTTTCAGTATAGAAGATGAAATGGGACAATGGTTTCAGTGACTAAGAATGCCTTGTCAATTTTTATCTTCAACACAATGGGTGAGTACTCTTACAGTGTCATCCTAAAGAGAGTTTGAAGCTGTGCATCACCCAACAACCTATAAAAGTGACCAGGGAAGAGCAAGTAGATAAAAATAAGGGAAAGTATTCTGGTTGTGAAGAGCAAATGAAGTAAGAGAAAAAGAGGAATGCTGCCAACTACAAACGCACAAAAGCAACACATGCAACATAACAGTAGCTGCTAGTAAAACAAACATTCCTTGCTGATCCAGGGCACAGTGTCCAAATGTGCATGGTCAGCAGTTACCTTGCTGCCATGCCAACTGCTGCCGCTGCACAGATACAAAAAAACTGCTCACAATATTGCTTGCAAGGAAGACTTCAAGGAGATCAGGAGAACTGGGCTTGAGAAAGAATGTGCATTTCAAGCAAGATAGTTCGAATATCAGTCACCATTCCTGCAAAGATCTCAGCATGTGTGTTTGAAAGGGGTGATCCTCTTTGTGGAGGCAAAGAAAACTGAGGAAGAAGGTATCTTCTCTGTCCCCCCAAGATGACCACATAAAGATCAGAAAAAGATAAGCTTGGAGAACGACCCTTGGCACTTACCGTGAGGGGTCCTTCTACTTTGAGGAAAGGAGGACATTCTTGGCCGATTCCCACCATCCTATCAGGGAGAGGCAGGAACAATTTTTCTTCCTCTTCCTGTGAGGCTTGGGAACACCCACTTCTTCAGTTCGGGTGACTCCCAGCAGCAGTACAGGATAGTATAAATTCCTAACCCTAAACAAGTGCAACAACTGTAAACATAGAAAGGTTAAAAAATATAAAACTTATATACAAGTGACCCGGAAATGAAATTGTAAGGAAGAAGAGAGCAAGGAGATCAGACTCTGTTTGGGGCAAGATGTCCTCCTTTCCTCAGAGTAGAAGGACCCCTCACGGTAAGTGCCAAGGGTTGTTTTCCCTCTGAGGTGGAGGACATCTTGGGTACTTTCAAAGCAGTACCCTACGCCCTGGGTGGGAGATCGCTCTCCTTTTAAACGATGTCTTGCAATACTCTTCTTCCAAAGGAGGCATCAGATGAGTCATAGACATTCAGTTTGTAGTGCCTGATGAAAGTAGAAACAGAAGACCAGGTTGTGGCCCAGCAGACTTCTTCAACGGACACGTTCTTGGCCTACACCACATTGGTGGATGCACTTCGGACTGAGTTAGTAATTCCTGTGGGAAATTGCTTCTACAATACATGCCTTGATGTTAGAACTGATGGCAGATTTGGACATCTTGTTTCCCATATTCGGAGGTGAGATGTTGATGAACATTGCTTCGGTTTTCCTGATACTAGCAGTGCATACCAGATAGGCTTTGAGGGACCTGCAAACGTCTAGGGTGTGCCAGGCCTTTTCCCGTGAATGTTTAAGATCAGGACAGAATGATGGCAGGTATATTTCTTGAGACCTATGAAAACGGGAAGCAACCTTTGGAATGGAGGTCGAATCCGTGCGGAGAACTACACTTAGCCCCGGATTTACAGAAAGGGCTCCCAGCTCTGACATGTGCCTGGTAGAGGTGACAGCCTCTAAGAACAGAGCTTTCATATGCAACCACTTCAGAGGCACGTCTTGGATGGGGGTTCGAACGGTGCCTTGGTGAGAGCGGACAGAACTGTATGTAGTCTCCAGGTGGGGAAACAGTGTACTGATGGAGGACTGCACAATGTTGCACCTCTCAGAAACCTACGCGCATGAGGATGTGTGGACAAAGAACAACCCTTAGCCCGAGGGAGAACTGAGTTCAGGGCTGCAACCTGCTTCCTAAGAGTTGTCGATTTTAGACCAGACTTGAGGCCATTGTTTAGAAATTCCAGGATGGAATACATAGGAGGGTTTGTGGTGTTAACAGACTTTCTCCTACACCACCTGTGAAATGCCTTCAAAGTGGTATTGTATATTCTAATTGCAGAATCCTTTCTGGAAGAGAGAATCATCTCAGTCACACTTGGAGAATAGCCCAGCACTAGGTAAAGCAACCGTTCAAGCTCCATGCAGTTAGAAGTAGATGCCCTGGGTGCCAGACCGGGTGCCAGACCGGACCTTGGATGAGCGTGTCTGGGTTCAGGTGCCAGACCGGACCTTGGATGAGCAGGTCTGGAGAAACTGGTAGTCGAAGCGGAGGTGCCTCAGACATCTGCTGTAGAGTTGAAAACCAGGGATGTAGAGGCCACTATGGGGCCACCAGGAGAACTGTAGCCTTCTGTTGCTTTATCTTTCTCAAGACCTTTGGCAGGATGGGAATTGGAGGGAAGGCATACAGGAAACCCTTGGGCCAAGAGAGCATCCGTGGCTTCGGCCCTGTTGTGGTGAAACCTGGAGAAGAATCTGGGTAGTTGATGGTTTTGTTGAGAGGCGAACAGGTCCACTATTGGTGCCTTGAAATGCTGTAACATCCAGTTGAAGGTTTTCTTGTTCAGCATCCATTCTCCCAGGTGGATCATCTGCCTGCTGAGCCAATCCGCTTTGGTATTGTCCAGGCCTCTGATATGCTCGACCTGGAGTGAGGTCAAATTCTTCTCTGCCCAGGAGAGTGATGAAGGATTCCTTGTGGAGGGAGGACGACCTGGAACCCCCCTGGTGGTTTATGTACATATTGGCTGATGTGTTGTCTGTCCGCACTAATATGTGTCGGTTCTTCACTTCGTTGCTGACATACAGAAGAGCCTGCTGGACAGCCCTGAGTTCCAAGACACTGATTGGCAGAAGGTCTTTCTGCAAAACCAGCGACCCTGGGTTGGGGTCTCGCCCAAGGTCGCTCCCCAGCCTTGCAGAATGGCATCTGTAAATAGTTGTAGTTCGTTGTCGTGAACATACTTCTTCCCCCGTCGAAGGTTGGAGGTCTTTGTCCAGATGACGCACATGTCTAGGCATTACCTTCTTTTTATCCTTGGTCTCCACTAGGATCTTCTCTAGTGATCTCCGAACAATTTCTCCCCTTGGGAGGGGTACGCCATCACACGCAGCCAAATCCCTCTCCTGGCTACCACCACCAAAGTCATGGCTTTGGAAGAAAAGGTAAGGGCATCCAAGGAGACATCAGTAGCGAATGCTGATGCTTTCATCGTCCTTGTTGCTCCCTCTAATAATCTTTTGCTGTTTTCTGGGAGGAGTTGAATAAGCTTTCTGGACCAGACTAGCATGGCTCTGTTGACAATAGAGGCTGTAGCTGAGGCCTTGATGGCCACTGCTGTGGCTTTATGCGCCCTTTTAAGTGCAATGTCTATTTTCTTGTCCAGGTTGTCACGCACTGATCCATAACTGTCTTCTGATACCAGACTGAAGGATTGAAGCACTGTCAACGGTGCATCCACCAGAGGGACCTGTAACATCTCATTGACAAGTGCTGGTAAGTCATACAATTTTTTTAACAAAACCCGGGGCCTATTAGAAGTGGGTTTAGCCCATTCTGCTTTTAATTGCCTTTCAAAGAATTCAGGAAATGGGAAAACATTTTCAGGTGCAGACTATCTCGGAAAAAGTTTTTTCCTTGCCCTTGGATTTATTTCTAGGGTTGATACCTGGGCTGACCATATCCTCTTCAGATGGTCATGTAAATCTAGGGCTGACAGAGATTTAGAGAGGAGGTACTGAAAATCATCTGCCTTAAAGAGTCTAGCTGATGGTTGTGGGACGCTGATGTCCTCAACTTCCTCATCAGGAAGGAACTCCCCATCCTCCCTTTGGATCAGATCAGGGTCTGGAGACTGTTCCCTCTCTGAGTCAGAGTGCCTGTCTCTAGGAACTTGTTTCCTGGCAGCCTTGGTGGGCCAGCTTTCCACCGATGGTCTGTCTGTGGGGTAGTCCATTGGAGTTGGGACTGGGGAGTTGGGACTGGGGAGTTGGCACGGGACGATAAGGAGCCCAGATCCCCCATTTGGCAGAAACTGAAAAACTCCTCTCTCATGACACATCTCATGGACTGGTAGAATTCCTGAGGATTGGAGCTCCCAGCGAAAAAGGGTACATTACCCAGTTGAAGTCTTCTAGTGTCTTCTGCAGGCGTGTTGCTGGATGCTGGAGACTCGCCTGTGTCTCCCACTGGGAGACTGGCAACCAAGGACTGGGGCTCCATTGCCACACTGGAGGAATGCGCCAGAGGAGTTCCCGCCAAAATTGTGGTGCCAAGATGGCTGCCACTGGTGGTAAGTGGGCAGGGACATTCTTCAGCGATGCCTTCTCCAAGGCGTCGCTTCTTCCCCATCTTCTCCCAGCTCAATTCGGGGTCACTGCCGGTAGCCGCGGCAAGCCAACAGGTCATGCCGGCTCCAGAGGCATCCCTTTTTAACTGCCCGATGGCAGCATCACTCTTCGACTCGGAAAGGAAGCCATCTGTTCTTCCCGGCATTGCTGGCGTCATCGGAGAAAGAGAGAAAGGAAGCTTTAAGGCTATTTCCAAAGGCAGTGAGGCCGCCTCCAAACTCCCTCTAGAGGACAGAAGTTAGAATACTAGAGTTACACAGAGTAAATAGAGTTAAATGGAAGAGGAAGGGTTTTAGAACAGAAATAGGAAAGATCAATAAGGAAATCAGTAATAAGCTATAGTTTAGGATCTAAAGTTGTTGGAGGAAAAGCCTACAACAACCTCTCCCTGTAGAGGCAGGAAAAGAACTGAAGAAGTGGGTGTTCCCAAGCCTCACAGGAAGAGGAAGAAAAAATTGTTCCTGCCTCTCCCTGATAGGACAGTGGGAATCACCCAAGATGTCCTCTGCCTCAGAGGGAGAAGGAAGGGTCTCACCGCACTTTCCTACTGAAGCTCCGGAACATTCTGTTGTCCTGGCTGCACGTGCACAGTTCACCAGACCCCACCTCCTCAAGTCATACTCTTGAATATGGGTAAGGTATCACCTTTCTTGTTACTTCTAAAGAAGCAAAGTGTATACCTATACAACTATACTCACATAAATAAATGTATTTAAATATAACTTACTGAAAGTATGTATACCCTGTCTTTTTATTTTATGAAATCCCCAACATTGCTAGCAAGTATTAAAAGAAACAAATGAGATAGAACCCGCTCTGCTTTGCATGAAATAAAAAGCCCATAAGGAGGAACAGAAGCCATACAGCAAAACCAAAAGACGGCACCAAAAGAAGCCTGTTAGCAATCAAACACTCTCCTAAAAAGCACTGCCTGTGCCTGGCATTTTAAAATGCCAGCAGGGAAGATGTAAATTAATTTTCTTTGGCTGGGGATTCCACAATCTCACTGCTACCGTTAGCAGAGCTTTGTGTCATGTACCCAGGAAACATGAAAAAGGGCCTGTCAGAGGATTCCCAACATGCATACTATATGGGAGTAGGCTGTCCTCGCATATCCTGAACACAGCACAGGTAGCTTAAGGCTTTAAAACCAGCATTTTAAAAAACTGAATCCAGAAACAAACCAGCAGGCGATGTCAGGAGACTGGCATAATGGCTTGTATCTCGGTGTCACTTTGACGGAATAGCATTTCTGTTTGCAGAAGAGGAAGCAACCATTTCTGCTGATTCCGCCTCTGACCACAGACCCTCCTTTTGCTTCTATGCTGTTCCTGGGGGTCCACTGACTGCCAGGGACAAATTTTCAGCAGGGCTCAGTGGGCTGCAATGGGAGGGGTAGGTGGTGTGGTCCTATTCTATGAAGGCCATGAGCAGATTAGCTACATGGCTGCCATATCCTACAAATAAACTGTGGCCTGAAAGCCCACTTCATATTTTGGTTTGCATAATTTGGTTGCAGCCAATCCTTAACCATGGTTTAGATATGCTAACATAGATTAACCATGGTTACTTTTTTACAGTTTAAATTGTTTATTTGTCCCAAAAGAATACTCTGGTCTACTGTTAAGAAACATAAAGACAACATGGCTTGGAAAGCACTTGAGATGTTTCTTCAACCACCTCTTCTTAATTTTCCCGGAACAAACTTGATGCCCATTAAAGGAAGCCTTGGAAGAATGTTAAACTCTGTGTGATGCACTCTACATCCACCAATGCTCCTCGACTGCGAACACTGATGGCCTAGGGCTGCCAATTTTAGGTTGGGAAATTCCAGAAGATTGGGGGGTGGGGTGGAGCCAGGGGAGGGCTGGGTCTGGGAAGAGGAAGGAAAGGATCTCATCAGGGTACAGTGTCATATAATGCCACAGACTCCATCTTCCAGAGAGCAGTCACTTTCTCCAGGAGAACTATCTCTGTATTCTGGATATCAGTTGTAAATTCCAGGAGATTCCCAGGCACCACCTGGAGGTTGGCAACCCTATGATGGCCAGTTACCAAATGGTGGTTTATTATGGTGTTTGGCAATGTTATCCAAGCACTGAGACAAAAGCAGCCACACATCTGAACCTGACCAAAACTTTCAGAAAGCAGGGAAACAGTAAAATTCTTCTTAACACTTGAGAGGTTTCAGTCAGCACAGCAATTATTAACATGTGCACTATGGTATAATTACTAGGTAAACTGCCATATACATTTATCCTGAAAAGCACCATATAAAGTTAGCTATACAGATATCTAAACTAACCTTCCTCACTGGAGTCACTGTCTGAGGCTTCTTCTGTAAACATCTTTACTTCCTAATACTTCTAACAGAACAAAAAAAAAATCTGTATATGTATTTTCTTTTGTGTCTGAGAACAGACAATTAAATTTGGTTTCTTCAGGAAATGTACTAAAACAAAAAAATCAGTCCAAATTTCAAAAATAGTTCCTAGATCAACTGAATGAAAACAAAAATTTACCAAGAACTAATGCAATGATGAAAAGGCACATCCACCATAGTCTACCATCAGAAGTAACCAGGGGGTACAGAAAAAACATAATCAGAAAGAACATCAGAGAAGCTCCATAGTTATATAAACTGCTGCTTGGTACTACCATATCTCACCTACTCCCAGATTACTTTCCATGGGAGAAAGGCACTGAAGCCACAAAGCACTATGACAGCGAACAAAGAGTATTGTATGATGAGCACATGATGTAGCACTTATGTCACAAAATCTTGCCAACTAGTCTTTAAGACCAAGTTACTCTGAAAGCAACCTACATGTGTATAACACCTCTTTGTCACAGAAAGAGTGGAGGCAAGGATTAGAACTACAGAAGCACTAGACTTCACTCCTCCTGGCTACAGCCTAGTCAACTTATGAAGCAGAGTTTGATACAGGCAATGCCACTGAACACTAGAACATGGGAAGGCAACTAAATATCATGCGTCAGAGAAGGAGTTAACATAGAAAAAAGAACCAGGGTTCCTCAGAGTGTATGGACTGAAAAAATAGTAAGCATAATCCAAGCTTTCTAAATACTATACCAAAATCATGTGCAGTTACCTTATTAGTTACCTTATTAAATAATGTCACTGCAGATTCCCACCCTGCTTCTTATCCCTGAAATCCGTGTGTTTTAAATTACACAAGACCTTACAAAGAAGACAGCCAGTAGTAATCAAGCTGCACGAAACACAGGAAGATGCTATGCTACTTTTAAAAAAAAGACAGAATAGCCCATTAGGTACTTCATTATAAGTACCACCTGAGTCAAATGTATGATCTAGAAAGAAAAAACAAAAACAAAGATGTGATCACAAATCAGTAAAATCAATGCTAGTTTTGCCATTTAAGTCAATAAAATAAGAATTAAACCTCAATACATTAAAAATAAAAAAACTTAACATACATCATTGCCTCGTTAGTAATAGTCTGTTCTGCGTGTAGATGTGCTGGGTGGGGAAAATGCTTGAAAGAGAGAGAACAGAGAGGCCCTTGCTTATAAAGGGAGATCCTGAGAGCGTGCAGCCAAATGATGGATTTTTGAAAGTAGTTTTGGCTATGTTTGTGTGAGTTGAGAATGCCAAGGATAAGCAATGCTAGTTGAGATTTATGCACAGA